CAGCAAACTTCGAGCACCTGGGCTCAGGAATAAAGTCACCGACCGACTCGAATTGGACGTAGGGCATGTTGTCTGAACCAGTATAAACCCTGTGTCATTGAGTGTTAGGCCACCTCCGATCACAACGTACGGCAAAACTATAAATATTTACTTGTTGGTCACTTTCTGCACCGACATGTACACTAAGGACACACGCTTAGTCCTTGATGAGAGGTGGTACAGGAGTATGTACGAAAGGAACCGAAATCAACTCCTCCATCATCTAACAATTTATCCTCCATAACTGTTGAAAACTAGAACAACACAACTAATAGGTGCATTTCCCCAAAAAGAAAGACCTTAAAATTTGAGTCAAAGTTAAACTAGTGTTAGCTTGACTGAATTCATAGAGAAAAATATTAACATACATTCGTGACACCAACTAGGTACTATATGAAACTACTATATAATATAATTGAATGGTGCTAATTTAATTAGTATCATAAATATGGATATGTTTTTAAAACTTAGTCAAACTCACAGCTGTTTGACTTTGACTAAAATATTAAAACGTTCCTTCTCTAAGTCGGATGGAGTATTTTTAATCCATCCTTAAATCCCTCCTCATTGACCAAGCAGTGAGTTGCGTAGGATATCTTGGCGCTCCATTGGGTCCCGACGGAGGACCAACGAGTGGAGTGGCTGCGGCGGTTGTCTCTTTGTAGCACGGGTGGTCCTTGTAATAAACCACTCTACAGCAGCTTGGTACAATGGTACGTGTGCTACAGTAGTGATGCGGTGGAGCTACTGTAGAATTCAAAGCCCTAGATCTTTTTTATGTGGACCTGCATGTATATTTTTAAAGGACAGCAAGAGCTCTGTGTATTTTCATTAGAAGAAGAAAGGCAATACAAAGTAGCGATACAGTATGTGCCAGCTAATTAATTGTGGAGCTATGCCATTTTCTATTCGTTTGGCTGATAAGTCATGACTGAAAGTACCGTTGGTTGATTTGTCGTGAGAGAAAAATATTGTTCGCTCGCTGAAAAGGTATGGATTATAAGCCAAATAAACATGACGAAAGTGTGCTGTTGTGCCATTTTAGTTTTTTATTTAACTTATAAATTGACTAGGTGGGGTGGCATGCCATTTTAGTAATTCTCGGGTTGACCAACGATCGAAAGCAAGGGAAGGCTATTACGTACCTGTTGGTCCTAACTTATTTTGTGTCTCATATAATTTGAACGTGTCGTTAGACGTCATGTTCGTTTGAACATATTAGCCTCACTCATATATAGTGTTTTTCTCTCACAACAAAACAGCGTTGGTCGGCTTATCAGGCACAAAAACTATCAACTAAACAGCTCGAAATAAAATGAAATGAAATGGCAAGCTATCACATCATGGTGGTAAAAAGTGAGGGCAAAATTTTGTTACTATGTTGGGGAAAATTCTGTTCGCTTAGCTTATAATCCGTATTTTTCAGCGAGCGAACAATATTTTTCTCTCGCAATAAATCAGCCAACAGTACTGCCAGAGCAACAGCAAGCTGAAGTTCTTGGTGGGATGTAGTGACAGCTTGACTGATGAATTGTTGAGGAGGAATGAGATGAGTCAGCTGAAAACAGGGGGATCCCAATTATGGCCGCGGAGCTCATCCCATGATGGCCCCAAAATCCAAATCCAAATCCAAGTGGGCGTGCTGTGCACGGTGCAGAATGCAGATAGGGAGATAGGCACCGTGAGATCCATGCGAAGTTACTCGCTCACTCTTCAGAATTCAGACATCATGCGTTCATCTCTCCGCTCTACTCTACTTTGTGACCAAGAACACTGTCAGCACGTACCTAACATTTGTAAGGATAAGATTCGCAACGCATGCATGCCTGCCTGTTTCAGTAATGCCCGCCAGCCTTTTGTTAGATAACATATACTACTAGTACATACTAGTAACAAAGTCGCAGCTCGTTTGCGTTGCAAGAGGCGTGTGGTGTTGAGTGTGTCACTAAGCTCAACGCGTTGCTGTTGCTGTTGCTGTTGTGCTGTAACAACCACCCAAAGCCAAAGACGAGCAAGTGTTTCAGAAGCTTCGTTCGGCTATCTTTTCCTTCGGCCGGGGCTGATACGATACGATCGATTCCTTCGACTGGTAGATGACCATCTGCTACTCACGATCCATCTCTCTCAGTGTCATCTTCAGGCTTTCAGTTTCAGCCACGTAGTATGATTTGCGCGTTACAGCACACAGCAGCTAGTTCTTGCTTGCTTGGTCAGACAGCTGCGAGTGGGAACGGAGACCTTCCAAGTCAAAGTCGTCCCTTTCTTTCCCTCGTCACAGATTCGCAGTCAAAACTCGTCTCCAATACCGTGTGTAGGTGCTCTGCACAGTCAGACACTACACTCTGTACTCGGCATTTAGTCAAACTTGAAATGGCTTCGCTTAGGATAAACCTCAAAAAATCAGTTATAGATGGAGTACTAAACACCGTACAGTAAAGGATTTATGCAACGGTCTCGTTTAAATTCAGGACGTAAAGTTTGGGGTATCGCATAAGGTATTCAGATACTAATAAAAAAACAAATTACAGAATCCGTTAGGTATCCGCGAGATGAATTTATTAAGTCTCATTAATCCATCATTAACACATGTGTTAAATCATGGACTAATTAGACTTAAAATATTCGTCTCGCAAATTAGTCGCAAACTATACAATTAGTTACTTTTTTAGTCTATATTTAATATTCTATGCATGTGTCCAAATATGTGATGAGATAGAGAGTAACTTTAAGGGGGGAACTAAACAAGGGCTCAGTTTAATTTCAGGGAAAAAACGTACGAATAGAAATATTTTCTCGTGTCTCAGACAGGCCTTAGGACAAACCAAGAAAATCAGTTATAGAGGCCCAACCCTGTTCGCTTGTCTTATGAGTCGTACTTTTTCACCGAACGAACAATGTTTTTCTCTCACATCAAATCAGCGAACAATACTTTCAGCTATGACTTTTCAGCGAAGCGATCAAAGCCTAAACATGGTACAGCACAGAATTTATGCAACCTAGTATGTGCACAGGGTCCTAAAGTTGAATCATAATGGGTGCAGCACACTCCACAGAGAGAGTAACGGTGATTTTGCAGCTAATCCTAATAGTAGTAGCTGAAAAATGCAATAGGCCTGTTTGCTTAAACTTATCAGCCGACTTATCAGCTAGAATCTACAATATTTTTCTCTCACAACAAAACAGTTTCAAAGAAAGACAAAGAGGGACGCATCTTCCTTGGGGATTTGCATTTTCCTTTAAATATACCATTTCAGTCAAATGTGTAAATAAAACTACAGTATTAACAAAGTAACAATTGGTCCAGTTTGGTCGGGCTTTTGGACGTGGCTTTTGCCAAAAAAAAACCAAAAGCTCAACTAAAGGATCCAAAGCAGAAGTGGCATTAATTTTTTCATTTGAGATTATTAAAAGTTATTAGGAAAAGCTAGCATCCTATGTCTAGTTGCAAGAGAGTGATGGTACTGAAATGTCAGAAAGGCAAGAGGTCATGAATTCAAATACACATGTCCGTAGTTTGATTTGAGTTGAAAATAACATGACTTGTGTGATTTAAAAAATGTTTTGCTATTTTTTCTTCCTTTTTTATGAAAAACATTAGCGATGGTAAGACATAACTTTACTCTTTGGAAAACGAATCATTTTTTCTCTCTCCATGTTTTGGCCTACTTTTAATAAGATGAGAAAAGGGAGTTATGCTATTTGGCATTTGAAAACCGTGTTTGGTCACTACTCATGTGTTGTCCCTATCTTGCTCCACTTCTCAGATCTCTGATTGATTGAATGAATGAATATGTCCGACGTGGCGAAGTCCCCACCCACGACCATGTACTCTCTTTGTCCCTTAAGGCCTCAGCACTCTTGGAGCACACCATCAAAAAGCAGAGTGAACTCCATCGGCAAAAAGCAGAGTGAACAAGCTGCTGATCATCAAAAAGCAGCATAAGCATACCAAGTGTACTGTGTTAATTCCATCGGCAAGCAGTAGAGAACTTGAGGAAGGGTGGGTGCGTGTGGGCCGTGGGCGACGGCAGGACACAGCTCCATCGATCTCTTTGAGCGCCATCATCATATCGGACTACTCCCAGCTTCCGATCCAGTGGTAAGCAATCGTCCCAATTCCCAAGCAAACTTGCTGGAGCTAATTAAGACCTGCAAAAAGAAACTTTATTAATCGAATTGGTAAGGGCCCCTTGCCCTGAAGCTAGATTTCAGATTGCTCCTTAAGAGACCTTGGTACAGAACCCAAATTAAACACCACTTTTAGCATCGCCCAAGTCAATCCAGCTAAGACACATTGAAAGAAAACATGATCAACCGATTCAGGAACTCCACATACACAGCAATTTCCATTACCCTTCCAACCCAAAGGAAGAATTTAATTTTCAGAGGAATCTTACACATCCAAATAATTCCAGCCACTCTGCTAGGCATCTCCCTGTTGGATAAGAATCTATACAAAAAGATTTAGTAGTACACTGCATGTGCTTATCCAGAACCCACATTACAGAGTCACTAGAGCCAGTCTAAAGTGATATGTAGCATATTTTTTGGGTTTACAAAATACGATATACGTAGCATGTTTCTGGTGCTACAAACCTAACCTAACAAGGAGTAGAAGAAATGTGAGATCATCATCAGCTACTTGACATAAAAGAAAAGAAAATCAGTATACACGCATCTGCTAGAAATATTACTGAGAGATGTATAGAACCTGCAATGGAAGTCGACACTTTGTCCATCCGTGTCTCCCTTGACCAGCACCCGGTAAAGTGATTATGTTGCTATGAATTACACATGATACGATAGCATCAGTTATATGCATGGGTTAACGTATATAAATGGACAAGAATTACATATTTTTTTCTTTATCTCCATGTATATATTGAACGATTATTATTATCTGAAGTTTTCCATCTTTTTTCCCTCCATGATATGAATTCAACCAACTAGCCAAACTGGCCATGACGAAACTTACTGCAACGGTCCAGTTCGTTTTTGTGCTCATGGCGTGCTGTACACATGTTGTTATCTGTTCTCCCAGTGCAAACTACACAGACATGCTCTCTCTACTGGATTTTAAGAAGGGAATAAGCCTTGATCCACAACAAGCTCTGAGGTCCTGGAATGTCAGCACTCGTTTCTGCAGTTGGGAAGGTGCCATGTGTTCGGTCAAGAACCCAGGTCACGTCACTTCTCTTAATCTCACAAATCAAGGTCTAGTAGGCCAGATCTCTCCTTCACTTGGAAACTTAACATTCCTAAAAATCCTAGTCCTGTCAGCTAATTCATTCAGTGGAGAGATACCTATGTCCCTCGGTCGCCTGCATCGCCTTCAAATCCTTAGTCTCACTAACAACACGCTACAAGGACAAATACCTGCACTTGCAAACTGCTCAAATCTCACGGGGCTATACCTGGGATGGAACCAATTAACTGGACAGATTCCTGTAAATTTTCCTAGCCGTCTTCAAGAGCTTGAACTTCAAGCAAATAACCTCACTGGAACCATCCCTGCTTCTCTTGCCAATACAACAAAGCTACAGCGATTTAGTTGTGCAAAGAATAATATCGAGGGGAGCATCCCAAATGAGTTGGCAAATTTGCTAGGGTTGCAGGCTCTTATGGTGGGTCTCAATAAATTGTCAGGTCAGTTTCCACAGGCCATCCTGAATCTTTCTAATCTAGTTTCACTTTCCATTTCTTTCTGCAATTTTTCCGGAGTTATACCATCCAGTGTTGGCACCTCTCTACCCAATCTTCAGTTGTTCGAGATAGGTGACAACATCTTTCATGGGCATATCCCGTCTTCATTAACGAACGCTTCTGAGCTGAATGACATTGATATGTCAAGGAATAAGTTCACTGGGGTGGTTCCTAGCTCCATTGGCAGACTATCTCAACTATCTTGGCTAAACCTTGAGTTCAATGAACTCCAAGCAAGCAACAAGCAAGACTGGAAGTTTATGGACAGCTTAGCCAATTGCACCGAGCTAAGAATATTTTCAGTACAAAGTAATCTCTTAGCAGGCCAAGTGCCCAATTCTGTAGGTAACCTTTCCATCCAGCTCCAGGATCTATACATGGGAATAAACCAACTGTCTGGGGATTTTCCTTCTGGTATAGCGAACCTTCGCAACCTAATCGCTCTATCGCTGCTTGGGAATAATTTTACGAGCGGGCTTCCAGAATGGCTTGGGACTCTCAACAGACTGCAAAGGTTATTATTATTCAGCAATTTCTTTACAGGTCCCATTCCATCATCTTTTTCAAACCTATCTCAGCTGGTAGACCTCTATCTAGATTGGAACCAGTTAAATGGATATATGCCCCCGAACCTGGGAAAGCTCCAAATGCTTGAGGTGTTGAGCATTTCTTCCAACAATCTTCATGGCAGTATACCAAAAGAAATATTCGCAATTCCAACAATAGCCAAAATTAGCTTATCCTTCAACAACCTACATGGACCACTACATGCCGATATTGGCAATGCCAAACAGCTCATATATTTACAAATCTCATCAAATAATCTGTCCAGAGAACTTCCTAGCTCTTTGGGTAATTGTGAGAGTTTGGAACATATTGATCTGAGCCAAAATTCTTTCAGCGGAAGCATCCCTGCTTCATTTGGCAACATAAGTAGCATAAAAATGCTCAACTTGTCTCACAACAACTTAACTGGGTCCATACCAGCATCGCTTGGAAACCTACAAATTCTTGAGGACCTAGATTTGTCATTCAACAATCTTAGAGGTGAGGTCCCAACTAAAGGGATATTCAAGAATGCAACAGCAGTGCTGATTGATAGCAATCAGGGGCTTTGTGGTGGGCCACTGGACTTACACCTGCTTGCATGTCCTATCATGCATTCAGATTCATCTAAGCACAAGCTATCAGTTTTACTGAAAGTAGTCATCCCATTAGTCATAGTGCTGTTGCTTGTAGTGGTCATTTCCGTTTTCTTGTTCCAAAGGCGAAAACAGAAGACAAAAGCTATTTCTTTACCCTCATTTGGGAGAGAGTTTCCGAAAATTTCGTATGGTGATCTTGCCAGGGCAACTCACGGCTTTGCAACATCCTATCTAATTGGTCAGGGAAGATATGGTTCTGTTTATCAAGGAAAATTGTTTCAAGATGAAAAATTGGTTGCCATCAAAGTTTTCAAATTAGGCACAAGAGGAGCAAAAAAAAGTTTCATCGCAGAATGTAATGCTTTGAGAAATGTGCGTCATCGCAATCTAGTTCATATCCTAACTGCATGCTCAAGCATTGATGCTAATGGAAATGATTTCAAAGCCTTAATATATGAGTTCATGCCACGAGGAGACCTACATAACTTATTGTACTCGATACAAGACAGTGAAGGCCCTTCATATTTTATTCCACTAGCTCAGAGGTTGAGCATCCTGGTGGATGTATCAGAAGCTTTAGCGTATCTGCACCATAACCACCAAGGAACAATCATACATTGTGATCTGAAACCTAGCAACATTCTTCTGGACGATTATGGTAGCTCATGTTGGAGACTTTGGGCTAGCAAGGTTCAAATTTGACACAGCCACATCTTTTGTGGACTCAAGTTCCACTTCCTCAATTGCACTGAGGGGAACCATTGGATACATTGCTCCAGGTACTGTCCCTTTTCATGTTGTGTTCTCTAACTAAATAATGATAATCCCACACTTTCTGTATTTTGATTTAATCCAACTAAACTTTTCTGTATGTTATATACAGAATGTGCTGCGGATGGTCAACTTTCGACTGCCACAGATGTATACAGCTTCGGGGTTATTCTCCTTGAGATATTCATCAGAAGGAGCCCAACAGATGACATGTTCAAAGATGGAATGAGCATTGCAAAGTTAGCAGAAATCAACTTACCTAATAATGTGTTGCAGATTATTGACCCACAGCTGCTGCAAGAGCTCGACCACAGCGAGGTGGATAATGGAACACAAATTTTGCAGTCTGTGCTGAGCATTGGACTCTGTTGCACAAAGACATCTCCCAATGAGCGCATCAACATGCAGGAGGTGGCTGCCAAACTGCATGAGATCCAGGAAGCATACCTTAGAGGAAACTGAAGCAGTAGTTACTATTTAGATTGAAGCGCTTGCATAAATTTTCGTTTATTATCCACCATGTTTTTTGTTAAGTTCTTTTTCAAGAACATCCATGAGATGCCAGTACCTTTGTATAAAGAAGAAAAAGGGGAAGTCAATGTCTTCCTAACTAGGCAGGCAATTGAACCAACAGCCACAGTATTCAGTGTGTTTCTTATTTGATTGCTGCCGCTTTGAATAATCCAGAGTCTATCGTAACTTAATGATGAGCAAAGTTAATATACCATTACCATGACAAATGTGTAGTGTTTCTATTCTCTACTGCATGACAAATTTGAATGTAGTGTTTCTGTTCTCTATTGCATGACAAATTTGAACACGTATGCCACTTGAGCACCAACTGTCTCAGGGTTAGTATTACTCATGGCTAGAAGTGGGAGACACTACTGAACAAGCCATCACTGCTGGTTCCAAAACCCCTTTCACTCCCAGTTTTGGAATCGGCAGTGGACAAATGGCAGTTATAGCTGCTGGTATCACTGCCAGTTCCAAAACCTGCATTGAAAATTGGCTATCATTGGCGGTTCAGGACTACAACCAGCAGTGCTATCCAGTTTTCACAAGAGTTTTCAACTTCACCCGGCAGTGTTAATGACATATCACTGCCGGTTGCAGTTGCTAACCGGCAGTGATCCATATTACAAGAACAAAAAAAATTGCTATATATATGCAGTAGCATCACATACACACATATCTTCCCTGAACAGAAGACAGAAGAATGTTAGCTGCTAACTAGGAATGTTCTTATTTAGACTACTGCACATCGGGCATTCAGTTCCCTCTGTGTCCTTATGTAATGAGTTGCTTGTCAAGCTAAACAGACTTTGCCAGTTAGAAGAAAAACTCTCTGTGCACATAAAAAAACAGTGATTGCCAAAAGACAAATGAATTTAGCAAACAGGGGATAAACAATTGAACTAGAGTCAAGATGTACTCATTGAGTCATTGACATGCTAAAGAACACGTGCATGCTATAAGGTCAACAACATGAATGTGATTGCCACTGAACTAAAAGGTTACAAGGTTTAGAAAGGAAACTCACTTAACAATCATAATATAGAAATTTAGGCAGCTATGTAATCAACACGTCTAAATCACGGTAATTGGGCATATTTTAACCTAAAGCAATCAAACGTCATGTGTTTTAAATCACTTTATTACTAAAGCTATGTAGACTTAGGCAAAAGAATGACTAGTGCAGGTACAGAACTAACTAGATGAAGAACAACAATTCAGAGGCAAAGTACTGACTTGTCAACCAATTCATTGACCGTTCCCTGTAAAACAGCCCCTTTCCCCATAAACTTGGTCTGCGGGATGGAGCAGATCCTGACAGACTCGATCTTGCCAAACGTAGTGAACACAGCATCTTCTTGCGTGGCTACCAAATCAAAAAAACATGCATCAGTTACCACTTTGCAGTTTAAGGCTACCAAATCAACAAACATGGATTGCAGCCCTAAGATACAAATATGCATTTCATACAGCATTTCCTGTATTCAGTAATACAGGTTTGCTGTGAACAAACCTAATGGGTCTCCATATCCACTGAATCCCTGTGCCCAGGCACTAAAACTGTCTGCTGGGCTCCTGCACATTTCATCAGACACTTAGACCACATGGAAATGGAATAAACAGCTAGTGCCAAAACAACAAGAAATTTCATCTACGAGCATATAAAGAAGAATTAGCTACTTGCTACCTTATAAGCATGGGGCTCCCGCTCGTCTTTATCCTCCTCAGGCAGAGCGATGGCATATACAGCAGATCGTCCATCTCACCGTCACCGGTGGCCAGATCCACCAGCTTGCTGAGTAGCATCCGTCACCCTGACACCCGTGTCCCGTGCACAGCATCAAATGAACGAGCACGAATCAATTGAAACGAAGACTAACAGACCAGCCCAATGCCGCGGAATCGGATTCATCGAGACACGCGCGGGGATCACGAGCTCAACACGCGGATGCAGAGGAAGGGGGAAAAGGAAACAGAGCGGCCGGCGTCACACCGGGAGTAGAGATCAGTGACGGTGATGAGGTTCTGTTGATGTCAGCACCGTAGCAGGAGGTGGTCGGTCGACGAGCGCGTGGCAGTCGGGGTGCCGCCCCACCATCACCGGCGAGTCCTCCTCCTCCTTGTCCGCCCCAACGCCTCCTCCTCCACCTCCGCGCGTCGAATCCGGCGGGGGCGCGTTGAGGAAGATGTGCTTGAGCATGACGCCGGCCCTTGGCCCCCGCGATGGGGACTTCCACGTTTCGTTGCCGCCATGGATTTTGGAACTGGCGTGTGCCGCGTGATGGCGTGAGCGTGTGTCCAGTGGGCCAAGAAATTGGAAGGGCATGATCAGCGTGGGCCGTCAGTATTGGGCCTCATGTGCCGTGGCGAGTAAGAGAGGATCGCCCCCCGGACGTGGACTGGGCTGACCTGGCTTTGGTGATGAGAAAGAAGAAGAAAAATCTATTCTACTCAATCCATCCTAAAATTATAAGACGTTTGACTTTTTTGACATCAGGTTTCACCACTCGTCTTATTCAAAAATTTATGCAAAATATCACTTCTTTTGTCATAGCCTGGTTTATTAATAAAAGTTATTCAAGAATGACTTAAATTTGACTATATTTGCATAATTTTTTTTTAAATAAGACGAATGATCAAACTTGGGGTAAAAAAGGTCAAATGTCTTGTAATTTAGGATGAAGGGGTAAAAAAGTACCTCTTAAATTATTAGGGTAAAAAAGTCAAACGTCTTATAAAAAAAGTACCTCTTAATTTATTGTTAGTTATATATATATTCAGATTATTCTTTTTGAACTTTAAAACCAAATATCCTCTTAAATCTTATAAAACAATTCATATTATCTCCTTGTCTTGTTTTGGAGTGGTTTTAAAGGTGGTTTCTGTACCTTTTTAAGTTTAAAATTTTTTGTAAATGATTGATAAGGTTATTAAACCACAAAAAAATGTCTCTAAGCTTGTAAAATTTCCAAAATAAATCAAGAAATAGATTAGAATGCGGTAATTCAAAATAAATTATTAATAGATCATAAAATAAATGTAGATGCTTAAAAAATAGATCTAGCTATAGGAAAATGAAAAATATCTAGAAAAAATCTAAAACATTCCTAAAACATTATAATTTGGTATGTAAATATCTAGAAAAAGCATAAAATGAAACCAAAACCGATGCATTCAAGCATCTAGAGATATTTTCATGAGGTTTAAATATTTTATTTGGACTTGTCATATCCTTTATAGAACTGATTTCAAAATTTTTGAATCTTAGAGACATTTGTTGCGGTTTAAGAACCTTATCAAGTATTTATTTATTTTTTTAACTAAAAATACGAAAACACACTTTAAAACCACTCTAAACCTGGACATGGAGGTATTAATTTGGATAATTCTGAGAGTACAGGCGGTAAGATGTCTGATTTTGGAGTTCGAGGAGGTAAATCAAACTACAACGATAGTTCAGAGAGGTAAAATAGATTGTTGGATACTCCCTATTCCCAAAAGACTGGAATTTTTTGTTTTAGACAATTTATTAAATTTGATAAAATTCATATAGCACAATATCAATATTTATGTCTCCAAATATGTTTATGTATAAAAGTATATTCTATAATGAATTTTAGGATACTTATTCATGGTCATAAATGTTAGTACTTTTTATAGATGTAGTCAATTTGAAATTGTTTGACTTCGAATGTCATTTTGAACAACGGGTCATCGGTGCTTCTAGTTTTTATCTAGGGTGATTTCTAGAAACTACACACATGTTCACTGTTTTGTGTCCCAAGCTCATCACATCTGAACTTTTAGTGAAGCTTGGTTCCCATTTAGTTGTTCTCTGGTTTCATTGATGCTTTTAACCGTTTGATCTGGTGATGTCCTCTTCCACCAGCTAACCATCCAATCCAATGATAAAAAGTCTCACTAAGTTGGCTCTCTGGATAGATTGGACTGTTCACCTATTGTACTATTGTTTTCCTTCGGATTCCACTGTTTTATCCGATGAAGTTTTATTGAGTTACCTTCTTGTGTTTCTCACTTATCACATTCGTGTTGTGCCTGTGTTTTGTACTCTATTCGATCCAAATTATAAGACATTTTGGTTTTTTCAAAATATATTATTTTTATTATATATCTAGATATAGTGTACATCTAAATACACAACAAAAACTACGTTGTTCGATTAGTTGGCCATTTTGTGCATCCTCAACATTGAGGTTGCTAGAAGAGAGGACCAGATTGATAACTGCGGCATAGCCTATAATTAAGTTGTTTGCTTGTTGAGGACAAAAGAAACATCGCTCCCATTCACCCTCCACCCCCATTTGGTTGTTCGATCCTTTTCAATTAATTAGTATCGTAGGATTACAATTCCACAATGTTGCATGGATTTTCTTTTGTTGAAAGTGGGAAGTTTAGTAGCTCTGATCAATTGATTATGAAGCATTACGGACCTGAGGACCATGTGCCTTGCATTAAACTATTCATCCATAGTATCGATTCTCCATTTGCCTCAAGCTTGCAAAAAAGAATTCAAAATATGATTTGAAAATTCAAATATTCAATATAGCCAGTACTTATTGAATAATAAAAAAATTTAACACCTTATTATAAATACAAAGCAATTTCTAATTTGAGATTTTAGAATTGTTGAGACTACGTCTGCCTGTTTGTGTATTCAAATAGAACATATAGAATCCTAGAATACTTGCCGGCCCCTTGGACAAATCGAACATTCGAGCGGTGGGTTGGGGTCATGCGCTGGCTTGACCGGTTGAACAAGATGCATGACTTGACAGGCGACGTTTCCCTGAGTGGTGAGCGCCTACGCGATAATCCAGCAGACACGGCAGCTTGACCAGAATAGAGGACGGGAGCGCTGGATGCAGCGGACCAAGGCTAAAGGCTCACTGGAAAGATGCCGCAGAAGACACAGGCAATGAAGTTTT